TGTGGTAAAAATTCCCTAATGCAGTTGCTCCTTGGAAGGTTATGCAGTCATTTCGCTTAAAACTACCAACCATGGTACCGAGTTGTTTCGGCGCGAACATTCCAGAGTCGTGTCGACGTGAAGTTGGACACCAGTGACACTACTACTTGATAGAACACAAGCTAGCAACTCTTTCTGAATTGGCTTCAAGGAAACAGCGACTGCTTCGGAAGCAGTCGAGACCGTGACCAAGAATACCATCGCGTAATGGTTCGAATCCGTTCTACCCTTGCATCTCTGTTGTGATGGGATCTCTCATCGTCAGCGATCCAAGACTCTGCTTCAAAGATGGTTGAAGCAGTTGGAGTGCAAATATTGTACATCGGTTCAACAAGGGATCGGAGCTCATCAGTAATTCGTCAGATTCAGTTTTTTTTTAAGATTACGTAATTTGTCCCACCTTCTATAGTTAGAGGCTCGGCTCCACCCTCTTCTGGATGTAAGAAAGTCTCTTTCGTCAAAATACGATCACAAGCTTGGGTGGCCAGGATCGATGGCTTGCTCACTCCAATCAAGCTTCCACTCCCTCTGGGGAAAATAAATTGGCATTAGGCTTGTGTGCTAGGAGGAAATCACTCAGCAGACAATGAGCTCTGCAAACTGATAATCGAAAGAGGCTCTGGATGCATGCTAGGCCATGCCATGTCTGCAAAGGCAGAAATTGCTAAATTTTTTTCTGAGTAAAAACGCTTCTTTGGCAGGTGTACCTATATTCTCGAAATGTTCTTCCCTGGAATTGATTTCACTGTGTCTACAGCACGCGAAAAACTTCTTAGATGTTTCCCACTCCAGCAAAATCTTGTTAATCGTCCCTAGAGCCCATTTGAAAAAAGTGCTCGTGATTCGAATGAATACTGAAATTTGCTGCGTATTCCATTTCTTCACCAAGAGATGCCTTGTCAATTCTCTTGCGCAGGGGAGGTATAAATGCGATCACCTTAGGTTGCTACAGAAGGAATTGCATTGGGATGGAGAGGTGACCTCTTTGCAACACATGATGGAAATGTAAAATGCGAGCGGCTGCCTAAGGTCGGCGCAATGGTTACAAAACAAGAGAACAGATAAGAAAAAGGAAAGGTAGAAACAGACTTTAATAAACCCTGTCCGTTTGCGCGAACTGCAGATTTATTTACAGTGTATATTTCTGTTCATGTATATTTATTATATTTTCATTATATTTACATAATAATTATTCATTTATTCTATCTTATTTATTTCTTATGTTTCCATGATTAAAAGAGCAGAAGAACCTCTGCGCACTAGTGACACAAAATGTTGAGAATAATATTCGCCATGATTCGAGAAAAAAAGGATCTCGAAACCAGTTACTGGATAGGACTCACGCTATTTCCAAACTTCAGAAAGGGAAAGACACGGTCTTTGACAAGACGGATTTCCTTTTTCCAACAAGCTTAAGATTTTAACAGGTGAGATTACGAACACATCTACACGACTACGATCAGGTTCAAGATCTACTTATTGCTTCACCCCTACCAATTGCTATTGCTCTAACCATCAGTCCAATAAACGTAACAATTTATGTGACCCTACAAAATTCTCAAGTGGCCACAAATCGCTTAAAAATGAAATACTTTTGAACACTGAAGGTGAAGGTTGTATCTGATCTAATTATGAAGAAATACTGAACGGCATGAACATGATTCCATGTTTTGGACTTGGCGGTTTCAGAAACGAAATAGAAAACGAAACTAGAATACTGGGAACCAGGTAAAAAGTAGACCTTTGGCCAGTCCGTAAAACCAGGTTGACTGTGTGCGTGGCCTTCGGTATATCGGCAACAAATCATGGCCCGGTCATAACTCAATGTACGCCTCAGCCTGGCGCTGGAATAAATATGGAACGCGGAGAGAACGTGACACGACAACATGATACTGTGAGGGAGAGACGGTGCAGTGGCAAGAAATCACGCGGATCAGGGAGACAGTGAGCGACATCCCTCCATTCTGCGCCACCATGTGTGCTGCATGAAACGCGACGGAGCGAATAAATCAGTTGGGGCTGCCACTGAGCGTCCCGTCAGCTCCACAACTCCGCCACTCTCTGTTCAAAATCCTTCCAACTCTTTGGGAACTCGGCCGCTGTCGCAAGATTGTCAACGGTAAGGGGACCTGGTTTGACAGCCAAATCAGAAACGACTGCACTATGCCAACTAATACATCACGGCCGTGAACTGCGAGCAATACGCAACTCCCGTGGGACTCGTTGCTCAAGCTACGTTGCATTGGGTGACATCTCCAAACACTTAAATTCAATTTCGCAATAGTTCCCCATGGACAACACTGATGTTGCACAATGAAATTCGACGATTTATTGCAAGGCATCTTGAGAGCAAACTGAAAGAATAAAACGTAGGACAAGTAGATCGCCGACGTTTCAGACTCGTGTATGTCACCCGTAACCATGTTGAGATTTCTGAAAGTATAATAGTGAGGGAAAGCTCTTGTGGTTACACAACACACTTTACAACCAACTAAGCTAAATGTTCACAGAAACGTATGAGAAAATGCTTACCATAAATGCGGTAACAATGTGATTGGCAAAAATTTCTTTTTTTTTTCTGAACAATTTAGGGCTACATGGTTTATCGGATACATTAACACTTTTCAACATGGAATATGGAGGATAAAAGCTGATCTGAGAACAACGTCCGACGACGGAAGCGACGTCACCGAAGCTACGTAGCCTTTCTTCTTCCTTACTCGAACAACGAACGCATGGGAAATACAACAGAACCTGTACAAAAAACATTTCATTAACAAACAGCTAAGAAAAAACAACTGCCTAGCACTTTACAAGAGCTCGGCGAAATGAATACATCATGAGTCATTAAAAAAATAATTAGTAACGATAGTAGCGAAGAAACAATTGGTTTTAGCTATTGAGATCTTCCAATATGCGAAACAACTACTAATTCATTCATAGGGCTAACGATTAGTGATAGGTGTATGTAACTGCTCCCTAAGTCCTATTTTTGAATATTAACATGATTTTCAATTCACAAAACCTAACCCTATAAAATTTATATTATATGGGACGAATACAATAATGTATACCCGAGTAACTGATAAAAAAATGTAATAATCGTCAAGAGAGAAGTCTAATAACAGCGTTTGAAACAAAAAAGCAGTCATCGGTCGTCACAAGCTTATTTCATAGTCTAAATTTATCACCCTTAAGTCTGAGCACCTAGTCAACGTATACCGACTGTTAACAAATGGACACCGTCAACAAGTATTACGAAAAAGCTACAACCCTACTTTTACTCGACAAAACTTTCGTCACAATGAGCCCTTTTTTATGCACCAATAAACAAACAGGAAGGAAAACTGAAATGGATATCTACTGTGTTAATAATAGCTTAACACCAAAGTTATGAAAAGAAAACAACATTTAATATACTGATTTTCATATTTCAAAGTAATGATTATTCAGGTCTCTTTGGCAGGATCAAGCGGCGCTGGGGATTGAGGACACTCATAACGAATGCGCACTCGCGCATACAACACCGCAAAGTTTTTCCAAGCATACGCTTGAAAAAGACGAAGAACCAAGTGTTCAAGCTCTGACATGATTCATTTGCATGAGTATATATTCTAGACCTCTCAAGCAACAAGTTGACATGGAAATTAATCTTGCACTCTGCATCGCCGCACACAGAGCACAGTAACGATCAAAACACTGGGAAGATTTTACGGAGTACAATGGGAAGATTTTACGGAGTAAAATGCTGAGCAAAATGCTTCTAAGGTCGCCTCCGATCAGAATCAGACAAGAGAGAGAGAGAGCAAAACCGTAGTTTTTCAAATTAAGAACTTTTTCTTCGCCTATGAACATCCTCACTTTCTCTATTGTCTTGAAGAGAAAAATCATGAATCGCGCAGCCTAAAATTTCCCATCGCATTTTGATCCTGCCTAGGAGAAGTGGACATGATAGTGACCGAACACAGCACTATTTGGAAAATAGACGTTGACCAGTTGCCCAGAAAATTTACAGAACTACTATTCGGAAGGTATTATATCAACTGTGGATAAAGCATGCTTTGATCTTTTTGAAAAAAGGCGAACATGAACAAGAAAAGGTAAACATCTAGGTACGGCAATGTAAAGTCATAGATTAATTGCTTTTTAAAATGGGAGGGTAAAGATTAAAATGCAGAACGCACTATCTGCAATGAAAAAAAAAACAGAGATAGAAGGAGAGGAACGGGAAGACCTGAGAAATTATGAAAAAAAATTCAAGGGTGGGGCCAGAACAACGAACGCACATACAAAATTTCGATCGAGATTTTAAGCCGAAACATAGAGTTTATATGGATTAGCAATAAAAAGAAGGGGATGTAGCAATGAGAATAAGGAGTTGTGCGCGTATAAATAACGCACAGCAAACAAGGCAAAAACGAAACTGAAGGAAAGGATCGAATCGGAAGAAAAAAACAACGCGATGAATGGCTTCGTTTGCAAAAACATCGATAAAATATGTCCACTCAAATCTACAACAGTTTCAAGGCCGAAATCAAACTGTAAAGGAACACGTCCATCCAACATACCTTTTAAAGACGAAAATCGGAAATCAACTCCATATTCAATGATAACGACCACGTGAATGCCGTGGAGAGCGGGATCGCGAACTCGAGCTGAAGAGGAAGCCATTTTATGTAGATCATCAAGACTATGGGCGACATTTGAAGGCAAACATAGGATTATGAGCGGTACCTGCTGGGAAATAAAGATTTTTGCAACTTTCAAGCAACTAACTACACATCAAAAAAGGACAGAAATTTTGAAAAGAAGATCTCGCTGATGCACAATGTCTCCAAGCAATGATATCGGAACATACAGAAACTAGGAAGTGAATAAGTGAATAGCCACAAAAGCCGAGCATGTAAAGAATGAAGCTTTTTGAAACATCAACAAAACATATATCATTGCTTCTCACTCTAGCGCAAATGAAGATCAAGTTAGAAAATAAGAAAAAAAATCCAAGGAGGAGTTTGTAGTATAAATGTGTATTCTTTGTGCTTTATCAGCAATAGCCTTCAACAACATTTAGAATATTGGAAGAACAATTACATGTGAGCCATCAGATATTAGTGTGAATCTGTAAAGCTCTAAAGCTTTCCGAGATTTAAACTTCGTCGAAGTCTGCGACACAAAAGTTTCAAGACAGCTGAGTTACGGGCAAAAAATTCCCTAAGCCGAATCTCGTGTTCGATCCCAGAGTCAAACACTGTAACATGACAGCCTTCACTTGCGATGATGGCTGCCGACGATTGCTAACAGACTCATTTTATTAGGATTAATAATAAGAACAAATTAGTAAACTACACTACAATAAACCCGAACGAATAAATAAACTACAGTAAACCCCAGTTCAGGCTGTGCCAAGGTAAAATACAGCCTCGTGGTGTTACGGTTAGTGCACCTGCAAAAATACGCACGACACAGATTCAGATTTTGGTCTAGAGAATTTTCGCACTTAACTCCGCTCTTTTGTGGTATCTTTCTAACTATTTTTCTTGCATATGTTAACCTTCGGTTAGGCCACTTTGCCTCCTTTACAAGCTTACGAAATCCAGTAAGGAAGCGCTCAATCCTTGAAAAGCAAGAGAGAGAAGTGAACGTTGATGTTTCTGACTTCAAATGAGAAGGCAAAAATAAGTACTGCAATACACAACATACCGGCTCCTTGAACGGCTACGGCGTCGTCGCTTGCGATCGCGATCGCGGGAGCGGCTACGTGATCTATCGCGATGCTTGCTACGACTGCTTCCTCCACCACCCGAATACGCTTTGGTTTCAATTCCATTCAGCGTATCCTAAATAAGCAATTCTCAAATAATTTCAACGCAGTGGGAACAGTTCGAGGAGTAAGAAAACGAATCAAGAAAAATAAACAAAATGAATCCTCCTACTCAAAAGTCCCAACATGTTTTTGAGCGATGAAACTATAATCATCCGCGCCCTTCCTTCTTATTTAGACGAAGCTCAACCAAAATCTTTTTTTTTTTTGAAATGATGAAAGTATTTTATGCAACATCAGCCACGCGATAAAGCGTAATGAGGAAATGGTAATGAAAGATTAACAATCAATTGGTGTAACACACGGCATCCGATAAAACACAATATCACAGGAATAAAGGTAGGTGTAATAAGAGTATTCTCCATAAAGGGAGGAAAGTTGCATTGCGTTGACCCGGCAGTTATCGTACGACATGCCGAAAAACTTCTTTGCTCGACTCTAGCTCCAGAAACTCCTTGAAGTTGAAGGCACTCAACATAGCATATCGCATCAACACAGTATTATGAAGCATCTGACAATGAAGCGGCGGCCCACCTGTTATCCGTTTTCTCCTCCAGACTCACCTTTTGACAATTCTTTACAACCTACACGAAACTAGGAGACTAGATCTTTCTAAGGAATACTTCAACTCATTTCATAATGGATGGAGTCAGAATTAGCCCAGTTGGTCGGTTTTGGTAGATCTGTGGTGCGATTTTCGGCAACGCACTGGTTCTTTGGCTTCAAACTTCTAATGAGTTTCATCAGTTCAACTTTTCGCGATTCTCTACCCAAGTAAAAAGTTGATAGTTGAAGCTTCTAACAGAAACCCGAATTCATTTCGAAATTGATGAAGTCTAAAAATTGCCCCGCTGGTAGGTTTTCATCGCCTGAACTTTTTTAAGCGACTTTGCCGAGAACGCAAGTTTTCAAGCTTCAAATGGTTACGACTCTCCACAAATCTTTTCTTTTGTTTTGTCTTTTTTCTTTCTAGTTTTGCTTTCATTTTTCTGCCATCCCTCCTTTCCCGGCTTTTCTTTTCGTTATTTTTTTACTACGCCATTTTGGGCCGGCATGTCGTTTAGACGTATGGAAATAAATATAAATAAATAAATAAATAAGTTCTGAGGAAAACAAAAAGCAAGTTGGAAAATATGCTTTTCGTGCTCTATCACAGGTACTAAATCTTTTCTGAAAAGTGTTCAGCTTCATCATTATCCTAGGAACAGGTTTTTCACACTTCTTTTGCAAACATTTAGCACTTTTACAGCGTTAACCATCCCCTACACTCCTACATCTGTGAAGATCACCACTCGCTGCGACGCTCACTCCTGCACATCCGACCCATTCTCCATCGTCGAACGAATACGACCCCCCTCCCATCGTTGGACTTTGACCAACGGACGGTTGACCCTGACTTGAATCCGACTGTCGGATACACTTCAAGTATTTTTAGGCAGATAGAGACCTTTAAGCACAGCTCTTTGCCGCAGTTTAATAAGTTTAATGGTTTAACAGCACGGTAAAACTGCGCGCACAGTCGACGGTTTCGGGCACAGAAGCAAGAAGAACTGCAGCGTAGAATTAATGAACGGTGATCCGATGCCCTTGACTTGCTCACTACTACTTCTTCGTTGCTCGACACCGCTTGTTCTCCACTCAATGCCGTTCATCAAGTCTTCCGACTTGGAATAGATGTAGTTGGGAGCAACTTCGATGATGTGTTTTTTTTACTGAATACATTTACTTACTGCGACTATAAAGTGCAACTTAGCCCTTTATAAGGCACGAGCTCGCGTTATAATTTTGTCAACCAGTTCGAGATTTCCCAGAGAGCGAAATACATTAGTGAACACCCGCTTAAAAAAAGAATGAAACAGCGGGTGGGAAAAATCCTCCACCTTACGCCTTTAGAACCTAAGCCGTGGTATTTTAGGATGGAAGGAAGAAATATAAAGGTTCACTCCAATTTCTGAAGGAAACTGTACTGCGGATTTCTCGCGATTCTAATAGTTACCTGTAGGCTTGCAACGAGAACACGACAACGATCGTCCTGCGCCACACGACTTTGCTTTATAAGAGAGATCGCCGTTAAAATAGTTTCCGTTGCTGACTTCACGTCACCTCCTGCGGCGTCTGCGACCGCTCGAGAAATCGCAGAGGAAGCGACAGTCCTGAACATGTATTCATACTCGACACTCCTCATATTACTGTAATTCTGCGTTGATGTATCTTTGCTACTACTTTAGGCTAACCTGTTTCTGTTCATTATTTCTTCGAATTCAACATCGTTCATAGCTCCTGGCACTGGAGGTTGTTGCTGAACACCGGGGAACATCTGAAGTTACACATATCAGTTAAATAGCACAGCAAATCGTTACAAACACTTTTCTCGCCGCGATCTTGCCATATGAACATTTTAATACCGTTCTGCCAAGCAATACTGTTTGCGCTTTATGGTGATACATGACAACAGGAAAAATATTACGTTGCCTACAAAAAATGTTGCTATTGAAAGTCGAGAAGCCGCTTTTACTACTGGAGGGCAGCTGGGTACGCCCTAAAGGCAAACGTATCTACAAAATGCAAAAAGACTGAGCAAATTCAAATTTTGGACCATTTGTGTTACACTGAGTTGAGGGGCATTTCTCCCTAGATGAAAAGTC